GCTATGTCAATTGCAAGGATTGTACTGTTATTATATAATATGGAATAATGTCAAACTGAATAGAAAGAAGATAAAGATTGGGGTGGGGGCGAAACGTAGGGTTGGTACATAACCTAACAGTGAAGAAAAGGTCAATAAAATAGATGGTTTGCTTGTTTTTCCTTTGGTGAGAGCAACCAGGTTACGTTACATGCAGTTGATTAAAACCGTGCATTGAGTGGCGGGGACAGAAAACAACCAATTCTAATTGCAATTCAGTTCCACTGCAATTATACACGAAGCAATCCACTGATGTGCAGTGCTCAATTTTGCCCACGGTCACTCCACTTGACAGTAATATTCTGCGAAGCGCTTGGAGTTGCTTCAACGACGTGGTAAGACGCTATACCAAATGCAAGGATTATTATTATTATCCCAATATGGAAAGGAAAATAAACAGCGGGGAGGTGGGGTGGGTGGGGGAAGAGGGCGAGAGAGAGTTTGGGGAGCATTTGGGAAAAGACACCCACACACACATGCACACATACTTTTACAATTTCAATCATTCGCAGACAGGGCTGTGCAGGATTTGCCACGTAAGTTCCGCGACATTCTATGACGAACAGAGAAGGAACCTAATAAGAAATGCCGCGCAGTCAGTGAAGGCTGTTGAGATTTCTAAATTGAAGATTTACTGTGTGTGGTTTCCTTCCTTAACTGTGTGTGCAAAGTACTAATAGATGGATGGATAGAGAGCGAGCGAGTGAGTGAGTGAGTGAGTGAGAGATAGGGTTAATTCTCTTTAAGAAGTCCCTGGTCATTGCCTTGTGCTGTTGTTGCCTGTGGATAGGGATGAGATGAGATGTATTTGAGGATGTCAAAAACCGCGCCCCCCAATGGATCTGACGAACGAGAGAGAGAGTTCATTCAATTTTATTCTAAGCAGAAGGAAGGGGGGGGGGGGGGGAGGGGGGTGGGGGGGTGGAGAGGAGAAAGAAAAAGGTACTTACAGCTCAGAGCGGAGGCAGAGTGGCCACACAGAGAGAGAGAGAGAGAGAGAGAGCAGTCAGGTCAAGAGAAGCATCCAGAGAGAAAAAAGCACAAGACATCTTCACAAATCAGAATTGCCAGCAAAGGCAGAGAGCGAGAGAGAGAGTGAACGCACGACAAGACATCAGGTACAGTACTTTATTCCAATCCTAAATCTTTTGTTCGAGCGTTCAACTCGATTCTTCCAAACTTTTTTTTTCAAAAAAAAAGTTCATTCGTTTTGAATCATTTTCTGTTGTTCTTGTTGGCTTGTTTTTAATTTCACGCCCATATAGCACAAACTATTATTTTTATATATATATATACATTAATATAAATTACTTGTTGTATCTTAATATAGATTGTGTTTTATTCATTAATAGAAATTATTATATATATACGATTTGTGCCTCTTTTTTAAAAAATGTGATTAAAATATGAATTGATAATTTTTTTAAAAAAAACGGTGGGTTCAAAATATGAATAATAATTAAAATTTCACTATCAACAATAACAACAACAGGAAGAAAAAAAACCTCAAATATCAGGGAGAGGTGTAACAATAAAACAAAAACAGCTGTGGGGTTGGAGACTGCAAAGGGAATAAATGAATGAAGGAAGTTAGTTGAAATGCAGTATTTTGTCGTTTTGTTTTGGTTCCCAATGAATGAATTAGGAACTGAAATTCCTGTGTGTGTATGTGAGAGAGAGAAAGGGGGGGAGCTAATTCCTGCTTTAAAATCCCCCCACCGTGAGATTTTATTTAAAATAAAAGTGATCTGGCTAAAAAAAAAGGTAAAATATTGAATGCAAGCACTAAATAAATGTGGTTATTTAATCTCTGGCGCTGTTCACTGTCTCTTGTTCATTTCAAGGCACAGCATGGTTTGGGGCTGGATGGGATGAAGGCTATTCTGAGAGCTGAGATTTCTTAAGCAAAACACACTCACACACACGCGCGCTGATCTATCTCCCTGGATTGGAGACAGTAGAGAAACCCTCTCTCCCCATCCCTCTACCCCCACCCCCTCACATTCATTCCCCCCACCTTTGCCCTTGGAAATGCATTGAATGCATCCCTCTGCCTTTCCGTTTGCACCTGTTAACTCACCTGCTCTCTCTGCGAGAGAGCGCACAGACACGAGAGGTAACACACAGAATATTTCTGCTCTGCAGATGAATGCATGTCTTTGCTGAACACTTCGATCCACAAGATAGCATTTTCCGCTCTATGGTTCGCTTCAACAATGAAGGCAAATGTAGTGGGTGTATATTTTTCTTTGCTGAAGGGACCTTGTTGTAACGTAATTCAACGCAACAAACCGAACAAGCAATCTCACTGGAGACTGTTTAAAAAAAAAAGACATGTTTTAAAGAGGCAGAAAGACTACTAGATGAGCTTTTCGAGATTCACTTAACCCGTTGATGCTGTTGGTAGAGAAATTTGGAGCATTTTCAGGATCCAACCAACTTTTCCCCCCCACTGTTTTGGGTGCGTTTCATTCAATTTGGTTATTTTAAGTTCTTTGCGACTCTCTCCCCTGAAATATGTACAGCGTGTATAAATGCAAGTTGTTGTTGTGGGTCTCTGGCTCTGTCTACTCTGTCTCGTGGAGTCCTGTGGTCAGAGCACTCGCCTCGCGAGAGGACCTGGGTTCGATTCCCGGCAGGGCAAGACCTTGGGCAAGTTTCCTTACTCCACACCCCTGATAATAATCCCTCAAGAAAAAATAACAATAATAATAGTTTGGTCACTTCAATCCACGACTGCTTGTGGGACACTGCTGTCCACAATTGGCTGCCTCATTTTGCCCGCGAAACGCTTTGAAACGTCTCGAGGACGTGATAACGCGCTGTATCAAACGCAAGAATTGTTATTATTATTACACTTGCTACTCTGCCTTTCGAACCTGTTAACAGTGGCAGCAAACTCTGTCTCTCTTTTTCTCAGGTGCCAGGGCAGAAAGTGTTAAGTTGAAATTCGTTTGTTTTTTTGTTAACCTCTCGCTCTCTCTTTCTCTTTGAAAAAAAAAGCATTAAATAATAAATAAGAAGAAGAAATCAAACCAAAGAGAAATTGTTGTGAGCAGTGAGTGGGGCCGGTGTAATAAAATTATACCATAGACGGTCTCTGAGATTAAATTCATCACCAGAGACACTTATCAGAACAATCAGACTTCACTCTGATTCCCAGAAAGGTAAGAATTCAAATAATAATAATCTTTGCATTTGCTACAGCGCCTTATCACGTCGTTGAGACGTCTAAAAGGAGGTTCACATGACATACTGCAAACTGAATTGACTGTGTATTAAGTGGGTGTATGATTATTGCACAAAAATAAAGGTTAATCTTTTTTGTTTAACCTTTCCTTTGCTGCCAAGACTCAAATCGTTGAGAGGGGAAGGAGGGAAAGGGACTTTCGAGCCAGCTTTCCTGCCCGATTTAGAGTCCAGCTATCCGAGGGAAATCAGTCATTTATTCACGTCAACACTTAATTTTCACTTAAAAGTTAACAATAGTACAATAATAATAACCCTTGCATTTGATACAGCGCCTTATTGCGTCTTCGAGACGTCTCAAAGCGGACCTGGTTATTTCTGGACACAATAAAGGACATTAATGCAATGATTTAAATCACAGTCACAAAATTCTCTGCGATTGGTGGGTGAGTGGGTGGGTGGAGGGGGGGGGGAGGTCTTTGCCGTGTTCGCCCACACAAAAAAAAACATTCAATAAGTTCCACAATAGAAAGCGCTTCGAGAAGACTTGAGGATGTAAATAAGGGCGTTGTATCAAATGCTGGGATGAATCATTCTTATTAATAGCACCTTTCAGCAGAAAGACAGATAACGTTCACATTTTTCACTGAGTGTGTCTTGTACTTTCCATTTTATTGTTATATTCCCAATGATAATTTTGGTCCATTTCAATTGGTGGGGTGGGGGGGGCGGAGTGGGTGGGAGAGGGAGGGAGGGAGGGAGGGATTCTGCCGTGTTTGCCCACAGAAAAAAGAAGATTCACCACACTCTACACAGTATACATCCCGCAAAGCACTTTGAGACGACCTGACAACATGAATCAAATGCGAGGATAACTCTGTGTCAAATGCAATGATTAATTATTATTATTAATAGCGCCTTTTGACAGTAATTTCCTGTGAAATGCTCCGAGATACTATTTTTATATAGCGAGTATCAACTTGATAAAGCTCCTTGAGGGGCAAGTTCTATTCTCAATGGGCAAAGTGTCTTCAAGTGACGACTGTCGTCGTAGGTGAAAGCCTTTTGCGTTTCCGCAAATCCCCGAAATTGAAACTGACGCAGTGATGTGTTATGAAATATTATGATATTCAACGCAGTAAAAACTGCTTTAATCTACAAGGCAACAAAACAGCACCCCCCCCCCACCCCCCACCCCACTCCTCCCCCATCCGCTGTTATAACAGGACCGCGTTATGCTCTGTGAAGCGCTTTGAGACGTCTCGAAGACGCGTTGAGGTGCTGTATCAAATGCAAGGATTCTTCTTCTCGTTCTTCTTCTGTAACTTGCCTAACTTTTCGCCCCCGGCCGGGAATCGAACCCGGGTCCTCTCGCTTGCGAGGCAATCGCTCTGACCGATACGCTAGCGGACTCCGCTACGGGAATGGGGGCCGAAGGGGAATTCTTTACCCGAACCCAATCTCGTGTGCAGGTGTGCTCGTGTACTGGACAATTTAAACGCGAGAGAAATCGAGAGAGCCATCAAGCTCCGGTAATGTGCCTCCCATTTCGAGCGAACATCCTGTGTGCGCAGAGTTGAGCAAACATGGGATTAACAATTACATTTTTTTGAAAAAAAATCAGTGTGTTCAATATTATATTCACCCGTTTTTTTCCCCCTTCCTCTCTAGAGACACGAGGGATATGAAGACCCTTTTGTAGAGAGTAAAACTGCCCCCCCCACCCCCTCTCCCCTTCTCCCTCCCCCCCCCCAAGGACGCGACGACGAGAGATGGAACCTCTTAAGATCTCCACCATCCCGCTGCTGGACCTTAGCGCAGAGAAGATGAACGTATCGTCATTCAGCAACGGGTGTGAGAATTGCACGGCTGGGGAGGTGTTCCTCTCGGGTGTCCGCAACCTGCTCATCTCGGTGATTTACCTAATCGTGTGCGCCATAGGCCTGAGCGGCAACAGCCTGGTCATCTACGTGGTGCTGCGTTACGCCAAGATGAAGACGGTCACCAACGTCTACATCCTGAACCTCGCCGTGGCCGACGAGCTCTTCATGCTCGGCCTGCCGTTCCTCGCCACTCAGGTGGCCTTGAGCTACTGGCCCTTCGGGTCATTTATGTGCCGGCTGGTCCTCACTGTGGACGGCGTCACCCAATTCACCAGCATCTTCTGCCTGACGGTGATGAGCATCGACCGTTACCTCGCCGTGGTGCACCCCATCAAGTCCACCAAGTGGCGCAAGCCCCGAGTGGCCAAGATGATCAACGCCACGGTGTGGACCTCGTCCATTGTTGTGGTCCTTCCGGTCATCATTTACTCCGAGTTGCAGAAGGACTTGAACACGTGCAACATCGACTGGCCGGAGCCCAAGTCGGTCTGGTCCACGGCCTTCATCATTTACACGGCGACCCTGGGCTTCTTTGGGCCCCTGCTGATCATCTGCCTTTGCTACCTGATGATCGTCATCAAGGTCAAGTCGTCCAGGCTGCGCGTGGGCTCCACCAAGAGAAGGAAGTCCGAGAAGAAGGCCACCAGGATGGTGATTGTCATCGTTGCGGTCTTTGTCTTCTGCTGGCTGCCTTTCTACGTCCTCAATATTGTCAACACGATCGTCATCTTGCCCGAGAAGCCCATCTTCGTGGGGATCTACTTCTTCGGGGTGGTCCTTCCCTACGCCAACAGCTGCGCCAACCCCGTCCTCTACTGCTTTCTGTCGGACAACTTCAAGAAGAGTTTCCAGAAGGTTCTGTGCCTGTGTAAGTCCAACAGCATCCAGGACGCCGACCGCAACGAGCACCGGCATGAGAAGACCCACTTCCCGGATACGTGCACCACCCAGAGGCTGGCAGAACCCAACGGGCACATGCAGACAAGCCAGCTTTAAGCCAGGTTTCCCCTCTCTGTTTCCCCTCTCTGCTAACCCTCCCTCCCTCCCCTCCCCACCCACTTTGCATCCTCCCCAAAACTCCAGGGATCACAGACTGACCCCCGTAGTTAGACCATTCTTCTCCATTTAACACAAATGTTTCTCCCACAAAATATACAGTCAATTCACTTTACAGTATATTCCGTGAAGCGCTTAGAGACGTCTCAACGACGTGATAAGGCAAGGATTATTATTATTACTACTAAGTGCGGGCTCACTTCCTGCTTCTGTGCTGTGCTGCTGACCGACCCGGCTTCCTGCGCGGGAATTCAACGGAATTTGACCCGGAAGTGCGACTGGCGGCCAATCAACCAAGCACCACCAAATGGAAACAAAATGGTCAGCCATCAAGGTCCACCCATTATGGCTCGCCGGGCTCACAAAGGTAAAGGTGTCGGGGGAATAAAAGTGAGGAGAAACCTTTTAGCTCCTGGAACCGACAGCGTCACTGTGCAGATGTCTCCTGTCCGTCTGAAACCAGGTTCCAGCTGTAAAGCAACAAGTTGGGTCCATTGATTCAATCATCTTCAAATTGCCCAGCACTCGAGCCCCATAACTACACAGCTACAATAAGAGCTAACCTAGTTCCTATCATCAAAGTGCTCCTTCTCTCTCTCTCTCTCTCGCTCTCTCTGTGCTCAATATCACATTGGAAGCATCGCTGAAACTAGAAAGAGTCAGTGCCAGCAAAATAAAAAGCCTCATCTCATCATTTCTTCAAGTTTCCTCAACAAAGTCAGTGAGATTTGGAAGATCGCAGAGAGAGGTTTGGATGAATAATGACCCTTTGGCTTGTTTGATCCCATTCTACCAGAGTACCGTCTTGCCATCGATGGCACCAAGCTGTTAGATATGATACCCAACGTCCTGGCCTCAATTATGCTTCTTCGCTATCCCCTGTTCCAGCTGTCGATCGCCCCCATGTAAGGATACGCTGTACTTTGTGATGTCTGTCCTAAAATCACCCTTAGTGACCCCAACCCCGTGTTGCTATGCCCTGCTCACTCGGAGTTGAATCTTTAGCTGAGGTTGAGAAAAGTTCTTTTCGAAACGTGGACCAGAAACTCAAGTGCAATCAGAACAGCAATTTTACGTGATTGCCGGCTGTCAGTGCCCAGATTAATTCCTAACTCCGTCTCCGCATCTCGGCTTGCGGTTAATGTGAATCAGGAACAAGCACTTTGCGATGGTTTTCAACAGATGCATCTCCCTTACCGTCAGGTCCACTGGATAAATTAAATCGCCTACATCAATGACGGCTGGTAAAACCAGTTACCAGTTACCAGCAAGTGATTCCATCGTGCAAGTCAACATCTAGAGGACATCAATCAAGCTCTTGAATAACTCACAAATCATGTTATAGTAACTATTGCGATCACGCTCAACTCGCAAGAGGCTTTCTCATTAATTAGCAAACTGTTCAACACGAAAGTTTCAGGAAGGACTGAGAAATCAATGGTAAATCACCGCAAGTGACACACGCAAAGGTCATCAAACTCTTTGACGCCCAGTCCAGCAATTCGTTCACACATGGAGCGTCAAACAATGGAAATGTTTTTTCTAAAAAAAAGGCTTGAAAAGGTTCAGTCAACCCAACTTCTAACCGCAAGTTTGAGGGATTTCCTAACCGGTTCCTTAATTAAGAAGCATGAAAGGAGGAAAGGGATGGGAAACTGGAAAGAAATCACACGCACGCGGAAACCCATCACCGTGCTGAAGAGTATCCAAACCAAACTGAGATTTCCGTGTGTCAACCAATGGCTTCAAGTCGATTCTGAGTGCCATTCGCACAAGTCATCGCCATGGATTTTCGGACTCCTTCATCAAGAATTAGCGCAAAATCCATTTTGATTGTGTCGCGAAACGCGACCGAGAAAACTAGTGTGAATCTTTATGGGGAGGGAGAAACCAAGGCAACTGCATCCAGACTGACTTTATTGCAACGGTCCATCAGTAAAGGCCGCTGAGATGTGTGAAGAGGCTATATTTCTTTATTGCAGTGTATGTAGAGTTAGCGCTCCATGGAAACGCTTGTACAATGATACCTGGCAACAGCCTGTTGCTTTATGTGGTTCCAAGTTCTTCTTGCACCGAGTTAACACATAAATCCGCCACCTCCCACTGAGAGCGAAGTGTGTGAAGTGTGTTAAGTGCGAACTGTAAATAAATCGATCGCCATTGCTCCGCTAATGCCGTTTTACGATGATGTGTGTGCAAAAGTCGGCCAAAGCTTTAGCGAAACGTTAAGGCGTCGGAAATGATGCTTCTTGTAGCCCTGTATCGCGATTTTTGCTCGGCTAAAATAGCTCACGGTATGACCCTTGTTGTATGTGGAAAGCTGGCAATAATGCCCGTCCATTACTGCGTTATGTCGTGTGTGTGTGTGTGCGTGTGTGCGTGTGTAGCATTGGATCTCCGTGGATTAAAATCAACCGTTTGCAAACTCGATACTTGATCGTTCCTTTCTTCTTCATCACCCTCTCATTTCGCGTCCGACCACCAAGGATTGTCCCAGGTGGGAGTGAACTTCAAGAGTGGTCTTCCCCTCCTCCCCAACAGGAAGCCACCCCAATGCCTCTCTCCTTCCCTGGTTCATAAAGTCGATGGTGTAAGAGAGACTACTTACTGCGGAAAGCCCCGTTTCTCAAAATGCCGACTCGCCTAACATTTACTCAGGACTGAAACAGGTCATTTAGCCCAACTAATCCATGCTCAGCCCAACTATACTCCACACCAGCCCGCACCCCTCCCATTCCCTTCTCTCTCACCCCCGACTGTGCGTCAAGCTTCCTCTTCAATACTGTACGTTGATGCTTTTTGCTTCAACCACAGCTTCCTAACCAGCAATGAGTTCCACCCACTGCGTGAAGGTGTTGCTTTCCCACCCCCCCACCACCCTCCCCCCACCCTTTCGCTCTATTACTGGCAATCTTAGATTTACATTCCCTTTCCCTAGGAAATTGAATCAGCCCCTCAATGGTCCACTCTTGTTGAATCCTTTCACCATCTTATGAACTTCAACAGGCGCCCTCTCTGGAAAGCTGTCGAAGGAGTTCCATCGAGCCCCCTCCACAATCTGCTCCCATTGCTCCACGTACTATAAATCGCCCCATATCCCACCTCCCTAACCTTTTCATCATGTTCTGCAATACTCTTATTTCCAGTATCTATCCACTTCCTTCTCGAATTCCTCAATCGATTTCCCATTCTCATGTTGTAGTAAAGTTATGAAACCAGGGATTTCTCCAAACTCCCTGACATTTTCAGGAAAATTGCGAGATCACTGAAATTGGGAATTAGTAAGAACACATTTATGAAAATCAATAGTTTATTCACCACAAAAAAAAACCTTGTGGGACGTTTCATTCACCGATGAGTCAAATGTTCGTTTGTTAACACAAGTCAGGCTTCCGTGAAACATAACACAATTATAATTAATAATAATAATAACTACGTTATGAAACATAACACCGGGAGTTACATTTTAGCTTTGTTTTGCAGCAAGAGATCACTCACCTCGCAAGCGAGAGACCTGGGTTCTATTCCCGGCAGGGCGAAACGTGGGGCAAGTTTCCTTACTCCATACACACGCCTCTGTTTACCTATAATAATAATAATAATAATCCTTGCATTTGATATAGCGCTTTTCACGTCGGGAGGACGTCCCAAAGCAGTTAGTCGATTGGTGGATCGCTTTCCGGGGCTAATAATCCTTCCGAAAAATAACAATAAGAATTTGGTTACTCAATCCACGACTGTTTGTGGGGACGCTGCTGTACGAAATTGCCTGCCGCGTTTTGCCCACAAAATATACGGTCAATTCATTTTACGGCATATTCTGTGAAGCGCTTTGAAACGTTCTGCGTTTTAAGAATTTGCCCAAATTCTGGATAATAGTCATACACACGCACACCACCCCTCCCACACCACACCGCACAGACCCATACACACACACACACACACACACCCACACACCGCCACCCCCACACAAACACACACAGGCACCCCCCTACACACACACACCCACACACGCACGCCCACATATAACCCCCATCCACCCCCACGCACGCTCACACACGCACCCACACCCACCCACCCACACACGTGGAAGATAAACAGACACCTGGTGCATTTGTTCACCAACGGTCAGATGAAGTGACCTCAGGGCAAGATAGTCAGAGAGCGAATGCATCACTCATTCAGTCATCGTGTCTCTCAGACGATTAAGCAAACCAAGTTAACATGGTTTGGCAATGCTGCTAGAAACAGACTCCCTAAAAGGCTCTATTTTTGGCCGATCCCTAAAAAATAGAGGTCTTGGCACAGTAACTACTGAAGACACACAGCTGGACCTTTCTGCTGAAACAGCGCCCGCTACCCACCTCGGAGTTCGGACGTCGGCGTGAGTCTCAGGGGCACGAGTCACTCGTCGATTTTAACGCTCACTTTTGCAGTCGCGTCGATCGTGCAAAATTAGCAGCGCAATACAACACAAACCTGGCTGTCTGCACGTCTGGGTGTGGCACGAACATTAATGTGTTCATCTATGGGGGAGATTCAATTATGGAGGCTTTAACACAGCCTTCACAATTACGTGGAACAGATAGGGGGAGAGACGTTAAGTAGGAATTTAATCTGAAGCCTCTCGGCTTTTTAACGTTCTCACGTTACAGAGATCCCAGTGTTACAGAATGTTCGAACGTCCTAAAGTGGCTACTTTTCGCGGGAGGTTGAGATGTTGTTCTCCGGGTATTTTGTCGAGCCGTTTCGGAATAGTCTTAACAATTCCCGTTGCGATGATTATCGGAAACATGTTTTTTTATATTGCCACATATGTCAATGTGCAGATCAATATATTCCCCGATCCTCTTATTTCTTACATTGTAATCACTTGGAATAATAACCACTTTGGTTTTTATTTGGTTCTTAATGATAATATCTGGTTTGTTATCAATTAGTTTACTGTTCTATCTGTATGTAGTTGTGAGTATTATGATTACTATGATTACTGTGTTATTGTGAGCCACAGAGAAACATTCTGTAGCGTGAGATGGAAAAATGACTCCAGCAATAGTTTATCCTTCCTCACCCACCCACACACACACCCACACCCACACACACTGTCCCCCACACACAACCCTCACATACACACACCCAAACCCCCAAACACACACACTGCCCCCACCCACACACCCATGCACACACACACTGGCCCCCCACGCACACACTACCCCCCCCACACACACTACACCCCCCCACACACATTATACCCCCCCCACACACACACTACACCCCCACACACACTACACCCCCACACACACTACACCCCCACACACACTACACCCCTACACACACTACACCCCCACACACACTACACCCCCACACACACTACACTCCCCCACACACTACACCCCCACACACACACTACACCCCCCACACACACTACACCCCCCCACAACTACACACACATACACACACACTACACCCCCACACACACACTACACCCCCACACACACTACATCCCCCACACACTACACCCACCGCACACACTACACCCCCACACACACTACACCCCTACACACACTACACCCCTACACACACTACACCCGCCGCACACACTACCACCCCCCCACACACACACTGCCACACCGCCCACACACACACTACACCCCCACACACACATTATACCCCCCCACACACACACTACACCCCTACACACACTACACCTGCCGCACACACTACCACCCCCCCACACACACACTGCCACACCGCCCACACACACACTACACCCCTACACACACTACACCCCTACACACACTACACCCGCCACATACACTACCATCCACCCCGTGGACACGTTACACCGACACACACACAACCTCCCCCCACCTCCCCTCCCACCTCCCCACCGCGCGCACACACACCATACCCACACCCATTTTTCTGCCGATTCTACAGAGTACAGCATTTCAGACCCGAGCTAGCGTCGGGGGGGGGGGGAGAGGGGAGGGGAGGGGAAGGTGTGGGGGGGTTGGGGGGGTGGGATGGTGGCCGATGGCACGGTCGAAGAGGAGGGCCTTGAGGCGGGACTTGAAGGAGGCTAAGGAGGGGGCGAGGCGGAGTGACTGGGGGATGATGGAATTCATCCATCAATACACAATCAACACACAGCAAGTGTTTCTCTCCCGGAGCCTCAAGGGCCAAAAGCCTCGTCTCTGCCATGCTCTTTGATGAGCGCAGTGAAAGTTTCATCTCTGAGCTTGTTCAAAGGTTGGAGTTTCTTCACGTGTCTCGCTCCTCAAGCCGGCAGCTACTCCCTGCTCTTCTACTTGATGTCTCCACTCTCTGTCCCCTTTCATCCATTGGTATTCCATCTCCCTTGATAATAATAAATAATAATAATCCTTACATTTGATATAGCGCTTTTCACGTCAGGAGGACGTCCCAAAGCGCTTCACAGAACACACTGTAAAGTGAATTGACTGTATATTTGTGGGCGAACGCGGCAGCCAATTGCGCACAGCAATGTCCCACAAACAGTCGTAGATTGAAAATGACCAATTTATTATTGTTTTTGGTTTTGGAGGGATTATTATTAGGCTCTGTGTGGAGTAAGGAAACTTGCCCAAGGTTTCGCCTCTGCCTGGAATTGAACTCAGGTCTCTCGCTTGCAAAGCGAGTGCTCTAACCACTGAGCTACAGGACTCCACCTGAAGTGATCTGAAGTGATCTGAAGTGATCTGAAGTGAATGTTCTCAAGTCTCCGCTTTTCCAAAAAGTACCTCCAAGAGCTTGGTTTCCTCTCCCTCAGTGGTTAGAGCGATCGCCTAGCAAGCGAGAGGACCTGGGTTCGATTCCCGGGCAGGGTGAAACATTAGGCAAGTTTCCTTGCTCCAGACGCCTCTGTTTACCGAGCAGTGAGTAGGAACCCAGTTGTTAGTCGATTGGCGGATGGCTTTTCCGGGGGTAACAATCCCTTCAAAAAAATAAATAATTCGGTCACTCAACCCCCGACTGTTTGTGGGGCACCGCTGTGTGCAATTGGCTGCCGCTTTTCGCCCACAAAATACAGAGTCACTGCACTTCACCATATATTCTGTGAAGCGCTTTGAGACCTCTCTCCCTTTGGGATATTGATCCAATTCCCTCTGAAGAGAGAACGTGGATTCTGCCTCGACCATGTCGAGATATTCCACGTTCTAACAAGCCATTTGGATTGGCGTAGCGTAGTGGTTAGCAAGCGAGAGGCCCTGGGTTCGATTCCTGGGCGGGCAAAATCACAATTTCTTTAAGACTTACTAGACATTGTAATGGTATCATGGCTTTCTTATATTATATATATACATATACACACACAAGGCCTTATTTGAACTCACTGGCTGAACTGAGTGTGTTGCCGTGAGCACAGGCCCCACATCAAACATCGTGGCGCAAACAACTTTAACCGT